TGTATGAGGAACCCGGTGTTGACAGTCATTAAAGTGGTGGTGTCGACCATTCGCACCCGAACGGTACGGTCGGACTTTGGAAATTCGAGCATTTCGCGGTTGGCCTCGGATGGTCTGAACAATGAAGTAACAGATGTCTCCAGCGTGCATATGCAGGCGATGGATTTGCGACCGTCTCTGGTTTGTGCGCTCTATATATGCAAAGGATGGGTGGTTTCACCGAGGATAGCCAGTGTGTAACGCGTATTGGCTCACGCGTATCCATCCACCCACTTGGTCCAAAATTGTGCCATCCACCCCCTCACTTGCCCCTCCCCACGCTTGGTTCCAGTCCACTGATAACCACCAAGTACACACAGCAAGGAACGGTCTAATGCACCCTATCGCGACAGTCCAGACCTCGGTCATTTTCCCTCATGATAGGCCTTACTGAGTGACAGGGATAGTGATAGCTGAATGCCAGATCATGGCAGGTTATATATTGGATCGTCGGTGCGCCCGCACTACGTCCTCCAGCTAAGTTTGGCTCACTGTCTCCACCTCTAACTCAATTGATTCAAGCATCGAGTATTCTGTAACTCACCCCACAAACATGGGCTCCATTGATCAGACCGTGCAAACCAATCCAGTGTTCGAGAAATATGGTCTACCCGGGGATAGTCGCCTTGGGAGTAATACCCCAGGGCCTCATCCGGCCTCAGTAAATAGACCCGTCCAACATGCAGAACTCAACAAACCATCCGACCGGGGCTATGCGGTTTACAGTCATCTGATCAACGAGCCTCCACTGGGGAAACCGTTCAAGATAATCATGATGGGAGCGGGAGCATCGGGGATCGACTTTCTCCATTATGCCCCATCGGCACTAGCTGGACTAGGTGTGGAGATCGTGTGCTACGAGAAGAACGCAGATATCGGGGGTACTTGGTATGAGAATCGGTACCCAGGATGTGCGTGCGATGTGCCTAGCATTGCCTATTCGTTCCCGTGGCGTCCAAATCCGAACTGGTCGAGTTTCTATTCGAGTGCAAAGGAGATTTGGGAGTATCTGAAGCAGATCGTTGTCGAAGAAGACATGATGAAGTATATCACGCTAAACACCCGCGTGGTATCGGCAATTTGGAACGAGGAAAAGAGTAAATGGGTGGTCAAGCTGCAACAAGATACGCCGTGCGTGAAGGAGTGGGAGGATGAATGCGATGTCTTGATAAACGGAGCTGGATTCCTCAAGTGCGTCTTATCTCCCTTCCCCCCTGGCATTCATTCTCCTGACCTCAGAGCAGTTCCTGGAAATGGCCTGACACTCCGGGGCTGCACTCTTTCCAAGGAACCCTGTGCCACACAGCAGCCTACCCCGAGGGGCTGGATCTGAAGGACAAGCGTGTAGCAGTGATAGGATCCGGTAGTTCAGGTGTCCAAGTCGTTCCCTCAATCCTCAACGATGTCTCACACCTCTACACCTGGGTGCGAACCCCAATCTGGATCACAGCTGCATTTGCGCAACGCTACGCCGGGAAGGACGGTCGCAACTTTGACTGTACGTTGCATTCCCTGCCACAGAAGATAAACTCTAATGCAATGCAGATACCCCGGAGCAGAAGAGCGACTTCAACAAAGACCCCGAAATGTACCACCGGTACCACAAATCAGTAGAGCATGAGCTCAACCAACGCGCCAAGCTCACGCTCCGCAATACCGCTGAGTCGGACGAAGCGAACGCTGTACGTGCTTTTACAAACCTATCAACCCCAGATACTAACCCTACAACAGTCCTCCTACAAAAGCATGTCCGACAAGCTCGCACCAAAACCCTACGTGAAGGACGCCCTAATCCCCAAGACCTTCAACGTAGGCTGTCGACGCCCAACACCCGGCACAGGCTACCTAGAAGCGCTCGCGTCCGACAAGACAACCGTCTTCACAGAACGGATCCAATCGATCACACCGAAAGGTTTCATCGACTCCGCAACAGGAACTGAACATGAAGTAGACGTCATCATCTGCGCTACCGGATTCGACACATCGTTCCGACCCCGATACCCAATAATCGGGTTAGACGGTGTCAACCTGGCCGATAAATGGAAAGATGCTCCGACCAGTTACTTGACAGTCAGCATCGACGGCTTCCCGAACTACTTCATGTACGGAGGTCCCTTTACGCCTGCGGCACATGGGTCCATTCTCCCCATCATTTCCCACGTGACGAACCACTTCATCCAGATCGTCCAGCGTATGCGGAGAGAGCATATCCGGCGACTCAGTCCTAAGGAATCTGCAGTGCAAGATTTCGTCGAGCACGCTCGGACATACTTCCCACGAACGTGTTGGTCCGATCCTTGTTCTAGCTGGTTCAAGCAGGGAAGGGTTGATGGCCCGATTACTATCTGGCCTGGTTCTCGATTGGCGTTCTTCGAAGCACTGAATACACCTACTCTGAGCGACTACGAAATTGAATATTGGAGTGGAAATAGATTTGGGTACTTGGGATGTGGATTCGTGGATGCAGAATTCTCCGGGGGTAATATCACCTGGTATCTGGATCGGTACTCGGACAATGAGGAATGGAGGAAACATGGGGTTTGGTACGATAGGGAGCAGAAGGAATTTGCGCTTATAAGCGAGAAGGCATGTTCTAGCTAATGAAGCTAGTTGTATCATACAATTGGTGCAACGGCCGTTTCATAAACACACAACGCAAAGGCCATCCCGGTAGTCCACATATCAATCAAAAGAAATTATCCAGGGTATCACAATTTGTGACTATTTTGGTCGGTATACAAACGCCCTGGCATTCTCAGAATCCACCTAATATTATCCTCGACCATAGTATTCGCAAGCTCAGCCTGCGGTAAGACATAGATGCGACGAAACTCATGAGGTATTCCGGAGAATATTTCGATGGATACCCGAACACTAGTAGACCGTCAGTGCAGCCCCCGTAGATGAAGAAAGTAAGAAAAACAAAGCCCTACCCAGCTTGTTCCATGCAATGCGCAAGTCTCAACGCCTGATCCCTCAACAAGCTCTGTCCCGCAACCAGCATGCAAGTCCGCGGCAAACCCGAAAAATCCGAGCATTCCCCCACAGTGAAATGCGACAAATTCGACTCCTCCATTTCGAGCATGTCTCTATACATGTGGTGGACAGCCATCGGCAGAAACGGCGCGTTCCAACACTGATACCTGGAAAACTCGGTCTGTGCGGCCTTCTCCACGTCCATATGTGGAAACCACGGCGTTGTCAAGTTCAACCCTACAATGTTGAGCCTTTGCGTCTTGGGCACTACCTCCGTCTTCTTCGCGAACATGGCAACCCACAGTGCCAGCGCAGCGCCAGAGTCCTCCCCGCCGAGTATGACGCGTTTCGGATCCCCGCCGTAACCTCTAATTCGTCCCTGGATGAACTCGAATGCCTCCCACGCATCATGATACATGGCTGGAAAGGGCTCTTCCACGGTACTTCGGTAATCGATGCTAATGACAATGATGGGGCAGGTAGGCGTCAGGCTACTCACCATTCCTGCGCAGATGGCGTCCTCGGTGTCCAGATCTCCGCAGAGGAATCCGCCCCCGCGAAAGTGGATGTATAAGGGGAGTGGATCCGCAGTGCCTCGTTGCCCAAAGAAGGCTATGGGATAGTAGAGTCGGATGGAGATGGGGTTGTTGGGCTCTTTGACTCGGGGGATGGTGGAGTTGCAAATTTTGACTCTGGATTCGTAGCCTGGTTAGGTTATTGACATCGCGTTAGCGCTTGATCATAGCAGGTCAGTAGGGGGTAGGTATATCAGACCCTTCCTACGCTTTTCATGCTGAGCGCTCGCGGCCCATTGATTGGTGATCTGGGTATCAAAATCCTCTTGATAGGGAAACTCGTCGTCCGGAGAAGTCACGCCGCACCAGGGGATCCCGTTTGTATGGCAGAAATCTATCCACTGACTGGATGGTTCGTGAAGGTGCCAAGGGTCGTAATTCCGCGCTTCAGCGACTCGGCCTTGATTAGGAATATGATGAGATGTCATGTTTCGTCAATAGCAGAAGAGGCCGTGGATGGGCGATGGGGGATATGGATGCACCGTTCAAGTACCCTTTTATAGTGTCTTTGTCTGAGGAGTAACAGGAAGTTCTGGAGCTGCGAGTGCGGGAAGACTATTTTTGAATAATCGAGAAGATTTCTTTGTTGCGGTCTTTTGCGAGGGTGACACAAAGACGGATGGATGCTCCCGAGTTCTTTGATGTTGGCTTTGTCGAACAACCTTTCTTTGGGATTGTCAATCGTAGTAGTCTCTGTTTCTGGGAGATTTATTTTTATTCAGCTACCATATTACGGAATTGATGATGTATACCCCCTTGAGCCCTTCCTTCCTGATGTGGAATACAGACAAACGCAATGTGTCGACCCCACAAACACTACATAGTATGTTCTATATCATGCAGAGATGATTTCCTGCCTTTCCATAAGCATTATACGTTACGAAAATTAGTAGTAGTATGTTACAATCAATACATAGCCCCACGTGTCCACTAATAGTAACTACCAGAGCCACCGATCGTTTTATAACTAGTGCCTATCAGCACACCTCGGAGATCCCCCTATGTAGATAAACCCCGGAGATAATCACTTGAACAATCTTGTACAAAGATATCCCTCGCCAGACCCGAATCTTCCCCATCAATACCCTAGAAGGTAAAGGAACGACTATATTTGCCACACATGTTGGGCTAGCAGAGCAAGCGTAATCCTTTCGGAGTTTGGGAAGCTGTTGTGCCGGGTAAAAATGAAGACCCTGCGGAATATAAAGTAGCCTTGGACATTCCGCTTTCCGCTGAGTAACTATGAATAATATACAATCATTTTTTCTATATTCGATCGCCAGGTGTGTTATTGCTAAATACCATACTACTAGTTTCATTTCCACTACTCTCGTTTTCTTTCTTTCTTTCTTTCTTTCTTCACTCGTTGGGCTTGTCTTCTTCTTCTTCTTTGGTTCTCGAACCGTCGATATGTCCACCTGGCGCCCCGGCAAACGAGTCGCTATAGCAGGCGGTGGACCCGGTGCTATATCCACCGCGCTGGCATTCATCAAGCGTGGCTACGACGTGCGGGTATTTGAGCGACAAACCGAATGCCGTGCTATCGGAGGCGCGGTTCTCTTCTCTATCCCCGTGCTTGCGATTCTACGCTCTTACGGAATCAGCCTCGAGAACTTCGGATCCTATACGTCGACATACTTCAACAACAAATGGGGCAAGGAACGGGCCGTGCTTCCCTTCAATGAAGAAGTCGAAAAGACGGATGGGCATCAAGGGTTGGCAATATGGTGTCTTGCGATCATCCGCTTTCCAGAAAATGCTCGATCTTGTTCCCGAGGGCGTCATTTTCTGCAGTCACGAAGTGACGGGATACGAGGAAGTCGAAGGTGAGGTGGAAGTCAAGTTCAAGGATAGCAACATCAAACCAATAAATGCCGATATCCTAATCGCAGGAGAGGGTATTCGGTCCGCCGTTTCGCGTCAGGCATTTGGTGACCCACAGCTATTCCGCACAGGCATCCGGCTTTGGCTCGCGTGGTGTGATCACATCCCCGGGATTCCTGCCAACACCGGTGTCATCTCGCACGACTGGCAACACCAAGCGAGTTTCTTTCCTATGTTGCATGACGGCAAGCCGGGATTCGAGTGGTGGGTTGTCGAGCCGGGGTGGGAAGGAAAGCCGCTTCCTGAGGATCCCAAGGCCCACATAGAGAATATTCTACAGGGCTGGTCGGATCCCATGCGGCAACTGGTGGAGGCCACTGATTTCAATACGCAAGTATATCGGTGGGACATCTACAATCGGCCATCGATGAAGAAGTGGTCTTCAGGAAGGATTGTGGGTGTGGGAGATGCGGTGCACCCTGTTTCGCCATATGCGGCGTACCGAATGGGCATGGCCATCGAGGATGGTTACTATCTTGCCAAGGCGCTCGACGGAGTTGATCTACGGGATTTGAGGGCTGTCAACGCGGGCTTTGAGTTGTTCGAACGACAGCGTGTGGACTATGTCAATCATCACATGGAGTTTGCTAGGTTTTTGAGTTATGTGTTCCATAACTTGCCTTGGCCGTTGGCGAAGCTGAGAGACTTGGTGTTTGATTATACACCATTTTTGAAGACATTGCTGCAGAAGTCGTATTCGAAAAAATCGGAGGATGAGACAATGGATCTGAAGGAGCTTCATGTCGTATAAGTCTGTCAGTGTACTATACATTCTTTTTCTGTTGGTAGTAGATCAGCAGGGTCAGTGTATAATAGAGTATTCCATTGATGAAACTAGAAGCCTCAGCAGAAGCATCCTTGGTACCTAACAGACATGATAAGTTCATGACTCCATTATTCCACATCCATAATGCGGGGACGGGTCTAGTTCGGTGCGTGGAAATAGTGACCACACCGGGATCACTGACCCTCCCGGAGAGAAGGTCACTGAATCTTTTGTACCATGATATTTTGCAAGAGCTTCAAGATAGACACGTCTACCGAGAAGGATCAACAAGGTGTCCACTACATGGCAATCAAGAGAATTTAAAATCATCGATTGCGCTGTTATCCAAACTGGTAGCAACTGGGCCCTCGTCACGGGTGATCTGACCCCACTAAAAGTCTAATCTCACATCTTGGCTTCCTTTATGGGTTTAGACTGGCCGGTCTGGGATTCGAACCACACATTGTGACGACAAAGCAATGTGGCAACACTGCTTGCCTTTTTCGCTTCGCCGATGTTCAAACTCTGCTATACATCCAACTCATCATCATGTGCATCCGCAGATGAAGCCCTGCTTGATGGTTGTTAGCCATTCACTCCGCTCACCCTAACCCCAAGTCTGTGAGCATCGTCATCAAATTCGCAGCATGGTTTCCAGTGGAGAATATACACTAAGAACTTGGCTGGACGATCTATCGAAGTCACTCTATTGCGCTTCCCAATACACATGACCTCCGATCGGACGCCTTCAGAAGTCCCAGCTAAAGGTAATTTACCCCAGTCAACTACCGAGGTAGACTCTCGAGTTAACTTCTTAACCTGCTAGACTGCCAAGTCTGCAGAACCCGTCGGATCTCCTGTGATAGAACGCTCCCCCATTGTCGAAAGTGTGCTTCACGGAAACTTCGGTGTCCTGGATATGGGATCAATCTACGATGGGGCCAAGGTGTCGCAAGCAGAGGTAAATTGACAGGACAGGAAATACCGGTCCGAAGGGACTCCCAGATATCACAGAAGACTTTTCATCCCCGTGCAGGCATCGCCGTGCCCAATGTGGACCTCCAACTGCCGGCCCGTTGGCCCGGCTTGCCCTTCGACAGTCTTACTGCCCAGTTACTCGATCACTTCGATCGAGGCGTCGCTACAAGACTAGCGTGGGTGGATGACCTTCACAATCCTTGGAGAAGCTTAGTATTACCTCTGTCACACGACTCATCAACCGTACGATATTCAGTGCTTGCTCTCGCCTCGAAGGACCTTGCCGCCAAGTATCCAGCAGACCATCATTGGGCACAGTCACTCCAAGCCATCTCCCGTCACAACCAGAACGTGGCCCTGAATTGGTTATCAAGGGACATGGGACACCTACTTCAGGATCCGACCGCGGTTCAAAGCAAAGATCAGGCGAGACATATCCTCGCTTCTGCTCTCCTTCTCTACAACCTTGAACTACTAACAGCACCGGCTGCCCAATGGCGAATACACATACAATGCGCCCGGGAAATCATCCAGTGGAACCTACAATCCGCCAGTAGTGCACTATATACAAACATCGCCGACGTATTTCTATTCTACGAGTACTACTACACATCAGTCTACATCGGATTAACAACATTCGATCCAATCGACCAGCTACAAGATGACTTCCCAACACATGACAACGTCACAATATTTAGTGACTTCATCCGAATCATGCACAGCGTCACCCGTGCCGAGCGACAAACATATACTACGCAGCCCATCTCACACCCCGTCCCGATCGAATCCACACTACTAGACATAGAAATCGCCAAAGCTCGAATGATGCAAATGAGCCAAACAATCAAGTTCAAATCAGATCAAGCACGACAGGATTTCGAATGCCTAGTGGACATGTTCTATCATGCTACGCTTATCTACACCCACCGTGTCTTTTCCGACAGCGTATCCCCGGATGAATGCATACAATCTTCGCTCGATGTGCTTCTCGAGCACGTGCTACCCCTATCATGCAGCGCCGCCGTCACGCAGGACTTGGTATGGCCACTCTTCATCACAGGCACAGAATCTAGAGGCAACCCACAGATGCAGAACACTGTCGAGACGGCCATGATGAACGTGATCAGATTGAGTGGAAACCTTGATCGGAGCCGCGTTCTTTCTTTCCTCAAGACGTTCTGGTCATTGGATCTCGAACCTGGTACAACCTGGATTCAGTATGCACGGGACAGGTGTATCGACTTTAGCTTTTTGGTAATTCTTTGAATGCAGCTTTGGACTATTCCAATGTGTGTTCCTGTGTTATATATACTATTATTGGAGATATCAAAAAGATGAATATTTAGAAAAAGGTAGCTGCATAATATACTATTCAATATCTGTGGATTACTGGACCTGGCTACATATATCTGTAAAGAGTAGTAATGTTAACGACAGTGATTACATTAGCACACTTTTGGGGAGATTGGTCGTTTTCTATAATCAGTGTAAGCTATCTTCCTCTTACAGCTTAGCTCGTCTTGGTAGGAGGGAGACATCATCATTACGACCTGGAAGATGCGGTATCCAATATTACTTAAGGCTATTGGCGCAAGCATATTAGCAGCTTCCTCTTGACCATCAGGCTACGCATGATGGATGGATTCGGGTGCAAGGCTTTTACTGCGTTTTATATCGGTAACGAGTCTGAATTTACGAAATTGTAAGGTTGAAGATGTGTTTCATTCTTTGGTACGCTAAAATTCCTAGAATCGACCACATTGCCGCAATATGGCTTCCTCGTACTGAACCATGGATTGCTTCATTGTCTGCTTCATTGTCTGCTTCATTGGTCTTATCCTTGGCTTTGGTCTTATATAATATCCCCGATAACCAGAAAGGCAAACATGACAAAACCGGGATCGGAATATATCGAAGCAAAAAAAACTGAGAATATACTATATCGGAAGAAGTAGTAAGAAGATGTACAGGGCTCTGTTCGAAACTGCAGTGACTGACTTCTGCAGAGCCATCACGAACACCAACATAAAATTGGACCAATTGGCCCACTACAAGAGCACCGTATACTCCTCTGCTGCTTCACAGTCGACCATAAACGGAAGCTGATTGATTCGAACCCGCCAGAGGTTTCGCAAAAGAGGGGGAAGACGAAGGTGGGGACTGCTGGGACTTGACTCCGTTGACTTCGAAAATAAAATCACATGAGAAAATAAGGAACGGACTACTACTCCGATCTCCAATAGTCCCGGTGCCGTCTTTCAGTCAACCAGATAGCCCCTTGCTGTAGCAGAGGTCTGTCAAGAAAGAGAGAGACAGAAAATACTTGCTTGGAGCTTCTCATGTTTCGCTGTTCGTGAAATTCAGTTTTTCTGAAGCTTGGGGGTCAGATACTCCATGCAAGATAGTCCGGAACAAACTACCGGTATGGGAGAGCGAAAATGTTGTTTTTGATAAAGTACGCAACGCCGAGACTAGAATCGTTGTCAGTCAGTTCGAATGCTTTGATCATCCTAGTGAAGCAGGAAAAGCACTTACAGTCTCTCATTCTTTGCGCGGACTCCGCACAAACGTCCCTGCAACTCGAAGGTGTTCTTCGCCAACCAATCTCGGACCCAACTCTTTGACTGACGTTCTTCGGGAATGTAGGTAAATGTAAAGATCAGTCGAGCAAACTCGCGACGTCCTCCCAGACTGTACCCACTGATACCAGTGTGGTAGATATCATGTCTGGACGAAAGGCGAGGGCGGTCGCTTCATCTTAGGGGTATGCGAGGTCGGCTTGGAGATTGCGGTCGCCATAGTAATGCCTCCTCGTAAACATAAACCCTGGTGTAAGAGAGATCCAGTGGCGCAGACCAGTTAAAGCCCACATAAAGGGGGGCTGTGCATTGCAGCCGGTGGCATTTCATTACCAAGATAAGTTGAAGCTGACATGATCGCAGGGGATGATGTATCTGCGCTATATCGTATAAGATGCGGCTCTTGAATTTGACTGAAGGTTCGCCCGCACAAAGATAGAACTGGGCTTGATTCCTCGCTAACAGAGCGCCATAGACTGCTCTCCGGCCCCTGAAATCCGCCACAGGTAACCCTATGCGCAATCATTCAAGCTTGTAATAAAGCCTTCCACTTCATTTATTCGTCCTCAACGAAGCAATTGCGGAAGCTCTCCAAAGAAAACTCCAGCGGATTCTCAATGGGCTCTTCAACATCAGCCAGTGTTACCGGCCAGTGGTACTTAAACAACGTGTAATCACTAGGCACGATAATGTTACCATACTGCCCCCCACCGTTCATAGATATCATTCGATTAAACCGTGAAGTCGATAATGAAAGTTTAGCTGCTCTGATATACATGATCGCTACTCCGTATTCGATCATCTTTGGCCGATGAGACGCGTATCTCTGCGACGTGCTTGTCCAAGACGTTTGTGTCGCAAACCCTTGGTAATGATGCTGGCCTTCAAGGACACTACACTTGAAAGCCACACCCAAGGCTGCACCGGTCATCCGTGCATCGGCTAATTTTCCTGCCTGCGCCTTGGAAATTGGCGTGACAGAAACGGGTATAGCACCAGCTTTGGGACTGCTTGCGTTTCTTCGCGATAGGAAGCTCCAAATATTCCGGAGGCATACTACCCATGCCATAAGAATGAGGGACACCTTGAGGCCGCTAGCAACAGACACCGACGTCCTCATCACAATGTCCGTGATCCCTTTCTTCCCCATCCTGCTGTTGTTCATCCGTCAGAACGAACTATACAATTTCTCGTTGCCACCACTCTGATATTGCAACCCCCGAACACCGCGATGTGACATAGGAAGTCAAACCCATCACATACCTTCAAGAGCTTGTCCATAAGACAATTTCCGATGCCTTTGCGCTGTTGCTCTGGAATAACGAATGACTCCAACTCAGCAGTGTATCTTCCACTGGTTTCCGAGCCGGTGTAGTCTTTAGCAGTGGCAAAGCCAAAGATATTCTCTCTCTGGTTGCCTGAACCGCGCTCCACGGCAACGATAAAGGGAAGGCGGGCGTCTTTGGCGGCTTGGATGCGCTGCCGGATGTCACCTGGCTCCAACTTTATTTATATATATATATAAGAGGTTTCTGCAGCTGCTCCCAGTTACACGTGCGAATCCGATAGACGCCGTACATGCCAGACTCGTTGAGAGATGCAAGGGGACTGGTCGAGATACAGTACTGCTCCTTTGATGCAGAAGCTAGCTGTAGGTTCATGGAATCATCTTTGCTGGACGATTCGATTGCAGGAGCGACTTATCATAAACGCCATGGCGCTAGCAGAGTGACATGAAAGCTGTGAAAGAGGGACCAGCAGTAGCCACTATAACATTCAACACTGGCTTGGGAGAGTCCAAACGCTCATCTGTGTATTTGGCGTCGCGATTGAAGGTGTCAAAAAGCTTGTGCTCTCCGTTCTGCAGAGGAAGTCGACGATACAGTGCCAGGAAGATGTTGTACTGCGTGACATGTGATCGGATGTCGAAAGTCGTGACATGAGGTAAACTGCCGGTCCATTGCAGAAGACCGACATGTATATACGAATGGGTCCTAGCCGTAGCTGTGTATTCGCCGCCACAGATTGGAAGGATGGGACGCTGAATTAGCCCACTAGAACTGGCGGGTGAACAACTTGTTTGGCTTCATCTTATTCGGCAACATCGAACTGCCAGGTTACTTTTCTTAGGAAAGTTTCGAAGGTGTTCTCGGCACCGAGAATAGTTGGTTGCCCAGCCTCCTATAGGTAGTACATTGCAACTAATACCAACATCGTTACAAGCTGATGTTGCAGCGAATGGCATCATTCAGACCGCTCAGACAAGGCAGGTTGCTACAGTTTTGCCCAAACTGAAGACTGATCTCCACGATGTTGGGGGGTCATGTATACCTGCTTATTGCATTGGTGTCATGCGAGCAACAATCACCTGTAGTATGGGAGCTTGAAAGGATGCTTTTGTTTCGCATTTCGCGTACGGTAAGGCGCATTATGCAACGGAGCAGAAGACACAGCACAAGTAGTAGCCGATTCTTGGAATGACACAGCAAAGAGGCCTACTAAATGAGAGTCGAGGAGACCGCACCCTGAAGATACGCGATTGCTTCAGGGTATTGAAGCGGTTATACTTGAACGTTGCTGCCTGGGGGTGCCATTCAATGGTAATATACCCTTCAGACATTGCGGTGAGGCAGAATAGAAACTCTTCAGGGTCAAAGAGGGCATTGAATTCTCAGGCATACCAGGCGGACATGAGTAGGAGCTCGGTCTGGCTAAGAAGTGAGTCGGTGTAATTCTCCATCGCCGGACAAACTGTTAGTTGGGATCTATATCTTCGAAGTGATAGATATATAGTAAACCCAAGTTATTGCGGCCAGCGCCTTTCATCGGGCGCGTGGTGACCTTGCTGAATCGTCTCTTATAGTTGACAGAGACACCAACGATGAACTGATATGATCACAAGAGCTGCTATGTTGCTAAACCTTGTATGCTTAGACGGCTTGGTGTATGCCTGTGATGTTGATTTGTCCCGGACGTAGTGTGTAGTGACAAGTGCAACCCGCCTCGATCATGCTAGTGGGCTTTGTAAGAGAATGCGGACTGGTCAAGATCGCGTGTACTGTTGTCCCAAAGAACTCGCATACTTCGGTAGCACTCCAGCTCTCGAGAGCAAGCAGTCCTATACCTGTCTCCTAGCAATCTACCCAGCTAGCATCACGATCGACGGCAGCAACAAATATGTTCGCGATTGTCTTGTTATCTAGGAACACTGCCTCAATCTGGTCAGAGTTTACTCCTGATAAGACGCGCACTGGTTAAAAGAGGTGGCGCGACGTAAAATTTGAAGCACTGGTAAGCTCAGGGGATCATTTTCGGGATCTTCTCTAGCTGAAGACCCGACAGTGCCCGTGCATGCAAAGTCGTATATATCGGGGGTCACATCGTTGCAGATTCAGAGACCCTTCCGAATTCTGCTCATTCTCATTCGGCCTTTTGTAATCTGACCACTGACCATCTGTTGCCTTGACGAGACTGCTGCACGGGCATGGACTGCTGCAAGGCGTTCCCTTAGCTGGAGCCAGAGTATTCGAGTTGTCATGACGATCAGCCCACTGCAGTGAATCGATACGTGAGATCTCCAATCGCCTTTGGCCGTTGCTGTATATGACTAATTGCGTAGAAAGATTGTATTCGCAGCACTCTGCTTTTCCAGAACACAATATATAATAGGTTACCTGCCAATAACCGAAGGCCAAGGAATGGCGGGCGGGCAGATGTCTGTGCTGAGTGACTGCACAGAGTGACTTTGTTTTTCATAAAATAATTGAGTGAGTTTTGGCGTTTGAACATCAGGGAGGCTTGAAAAAGGACTGTTGAACTTGAAAAGCTCCGGATGTTCTTAACGGTCATACAAAGAATGTGAGCTTTGTATATTGCGCTGAAGGAGACTCTGCGCCCCTTGTTCTTTGCCAGAGCCCCAGAGAGTTTGGAAGCGCTGGACCATATAGTTGCCAGATGGCGGGGTGTGATGACGTTATTTAACAGCACCAGGCCAACCAATATGGACGGCGGTATTTAGCGCCCAGTATGTGGTTCATGATTTTGTTGAGACACGGTTGGACTTTGCGTTTGACAGAAGCAACGGAGCGATTTTGGTGCGGGGGTCCATATATAGAGAGAGCCCCAAGGTCATTCTTCATCCATTGATGAAAGAACGATTGGGGTTTCGAGAGTTTATAGCGATAGTCGGGTAGCCTGATCAACCACAGCCAGCAAGACCAAGCTGGTATGTGGGAATCTTTAGCTATAATTGCTGAAGGATGAGCTCACCATGGGAGGCAGGGTCAAGCATGTCGCTAACCGCACTCATGGCTACTTGGAGCCCGCCAACACTCGGGACCCGCTCGTAGAAGAGCAAGCGTATTATTGCCAGAAGTCAACTGCTCCAAACCCAAGGCACAGTCAAGGAGCGTAAATGGAGAAAGTAATCACCATGGCGGGAAGATGACCGCAGCATTTTGATGAGTGTGTCCTCATCAAACTATCAGGTGATTTCAGGGCTCAGGAAGGGTATATAGGATATGAACAGCGATACTTGTATGTGCGTAGAAGGCAACAGTAGAGAGAGGTGAGTAGTAGCAATATATGTAGAACACATATCGCACAAGATAGTCCGCAAAATGAATGATGGGATCGTGATGTAGAATCCTCGTTCATATATGCAAAGCATATATCAAGCATGACATTGTGTCGGACTTGTGACACAGAGACAATGAAGGAGGGTTGTCTGTGATGATGCAGGAGCCGAAGAACCAAGAATAACATCAGTGGCAAGTAACCCGATACCACACACAAGACATAGTAGAACTTATGAAGAAGTGAAGTGATATAACAACATCCATCATGCATGAGTGAGATGCAAACACCATTCAGTAGGAGAAGAAGTGAGAAGTGGTCACAAATGATAGTGTTGCGGTAGTAGCGAGGGCAATTTTGACTTTATGTGGAAACCCTCACGACCACTACCCGCCGCCATCACCACACACCACAAGCACAGAGATGCACATGTGACATATAAAGGAACGTGCAGTATAATAATATAAGAAAGACTAAAATAAGAGAGGAGGACAAAAGGTCACGGACCCAAAGAAATCATCGATGCAACGGGCGGCTGCCGGCAAACCCGGATCGTTAGCCATCGTACACTTCGCCTAGATACTTGATCTTGATCCAGGATAAGTGACCCATCGATAAGTTCCTGGTCATGTTTGAGGTTCAACAGAAGTTTGTTGTCTTCGAAAATGTAGAGACATAGTTGAGCTGAATATATAAGTGATCACTAACCCCCTCCCGGGGGTGATGATCAGGAGGGCAGATGCATGAGAGTGAGTGAAAAAGGGAAAAGCTTCCAGCAGGGAGCAGGAAGATTATATAGCTTTCCAGGAGGACGCTAAGTCACGTTACAGGAGGCAAATTCAGGGCTTTTCGACGGAACTGGCCAGCTGATGACGCAGGCCACGGCTCCCGGGGGGAGGGAGACAGGGTTCAATTACTACTTTGCCTCCCAGACAAAAGGAAAGGACCGAAGAAAAGAAATGGGTGGAGGAGGTGGAGCATCTAGTGTGAAGAGAAGAGCCTATCATTAAGTGTTTCTATCTCGTAGCATCATTAAATCCAGGGATACATGGTCCGGCATCACCCCAGATGAGCATCTTAGACGGTTCCAGCCTGCGTCTTCTTCCTCCGGAAGAGATACTGTAGGTTCAAGACCACGGTCTGGACCCATGACGCGGCTGCCAACGCACAGATGGCCGTGAGGCCGTGGATGTAAAGGGGGGCGTCCGAGGATCGAAAGATCTGGGCTCCAGAGATACCCGACAGGTTGGCGGACATGACGATCAACCTATTTTTGCCACCGCATTAGCAAGTATTACCTTTATGGAATTAATTAGGGTAAGTGTAACACGTACGCCATGGATATACTCCGCTCTTGTGGTGTTTTGCAATAGAAGGAAAGCCATCCAACGTTGAGAACACTATCCACATTAGCATATAAGCATTCAACGGGGTACCTGAGGGAGACCAAGGGTACATACTGCATACTACAGTAGGCTACATTAGCAATAGCAATGACCGCATACTTGTGCCAGCTTGATGCATCTGTAGGACTGGTGCGTAGACACGCATACGAAATGACATTCCACGTGATACAGAGGAGGACGAAAGGCCCCCGATGCCCGATTTTGTCCCTGCAGCAGTCAGCATCCAACTTCCCCCACCACAGGATCCGTGTCACTTACGAGGAATAAGCCAGAATCGTCGTCCAGACAATACTAGCATACACTGGTACTGATGCCAGTGCATTTGCTCGGACGGCACTGAATCCGAAGGACTTGATCATGCTGGGAGTGTAAGTGTTCAGACCCTGGAAGCCGGACATGGCCACCAATGTGATGAACATATGTTGAAGCGTCGTGGGTTGTGTGACCGTCTTCCAAATATCCCGGCCAGTGATCTTGATATGTTCTCGTGTCTTTAGAGGGTCGTCCAGCAGAACACGGTCGATGATGATGCGCTTCTCACGAGGGGAGAAGTAGCTCCAGCGACCCATGCTGATGAGAGGACTTCCATCACCTGCCCTCTTGGGAATGAACATGATGAACAGAATAGCAGCGAAGATGGTAATCAGGCCCTCAACTACACACTGTTAACTCTCCTCATTTACTCATGCCGAAGTATAGGGACACTTACCCAGGAAGATCCACCTCCACCCAGCAAGCCCACACTTTCCATCCAGCTTCAACAAACCAGCCGAGATCAGACTCGACGTTGCACCCGCAAACATCTGCCCATAAAAGAACAAAGTCGTCCGGAAACTGGTCTCAGGACGCTTATACCATGTCGAGAGATAGTACAGGGCACCTATACCAAACCCATCGTTAGCCCTACCACCACCGACCGAACAGGGCGACCAGACAAACCAGGAATGAACCCTCCCTCCAACAGCCCCAACAACAACCTCGTGGCCAGAAACGCCGGGTACGACTGCACGAAAGCCTGAAACGTGCCAACCAAACCCCAAGCGACCAGCTGTGTCGACAACCAGACCTGGGGACCGATGCGCTGAAGTATAATATTCGATGGGATCTCCGTGATGACAATACCAGCCGAAAGCAACTGTGTTCCGATATTGATTTGGTTCGTGGTGACGCCTAAGTCGTCGGTGATAGTAGAGGTAAGAGCAGCGCTGATATTTCCGCGATCGATCTGGAGGCCGAAGAAAGCGAGAGCAAGGATAGGGATGAGGATGATATCGATCCTATATACCAGTCAGTATATGCTTATACCTATATGGCAGTGAATGAACGACCAGGACGACTCACTTCCTCCGCAGCTTGCCCTCCTCCTTATCATCCCAATCCTTCACGATTTCCTCCGACGCAACATCATTATCGGTATAGACCTCATCGACGACCTTCTTTTCCTCAAAAGGAGGCACAACACCATCCTTCGGGTCCTCAAACTCGAACTGTTTCCCCACCATCACGACAACGACAACACAAGACAGAGGTTGAGCAACACTTCAGTGAGATAAGCCAACACCCTGAGTCAAGTAATCACCGACCGTATGCAAGGGACGTCCAAGACAATCAGTAATAAGAAAAAGAAAAGCAAACACAGAAAAAAAAAAGTATATTCCTTTTTACCCACTCAACGACACAACGTATAAAAATTTCCGAGTCAGTCACAAGAAAATTTAGAAAAGCTACGGTGCCTACATCCAATCTACTTATATTTCAA